TTTTTTTCTTGCTAACGATGACCTAAGGGTACGACTGCGTGACTTCACTTTTTTTGTTGAAATATCACTTCGATTTTGTAGAATATGTTAGTTAACGACTTCAACACCATTCTACTTATAATGTTAAGATAGAAGAAAACGTCAGATTAAAATTATAGCTGAGTAACCATTCTCTTTTAACTCTTTGAACAAGCGACATCGAGTTTAAAAAAAAAGCTAAACGCAAGAAAACAACAAAAATTTATAACCAAAGGATTTTATCACCTATAACTCGACTACAAACCAACATATTTTCTTCAAATTCTGAACAAAAGAAGAACAAACTCTCACAAGTTTTCCTCCATGATTTGTAGTTTAGTTGTCTCATTGCTACTTTTTACTTACACTTGCAAGCAGTACCTGGTGACGCACAAATATAAAAATTGTTAATTGCAGAGAGAGTGAAGGTACCAGCAAGGGAAGCCTATTTATCATTCACATGGGAAAAAGATCTTAAAAAAACTCTCAGAACCGTAATAAGATCCATTGTCCAAAGCCTGATGCTGGATCATGAAAAGTCGGTGATTCTAATGAGATATCAAGGGATTAATCCTGCAGCGGGCTCTGCACACAAGATCTTAGAGATTTCTTTTTCTAGATCAGTTTTTATAATTTATATGGTTTCCAAACCAGAAATCTTATTGCAAATTTAAGGAAAAGAAAATAGCGTAAATCGTGAGTTAAACGATATATACGATGGGTCCAATGTAAAAGCCCCAAACAAAGAAAGCTGCCAGCACGTGTGTTCCGACCTCGATTCTGACTCAATCCATGATATCCCTTCAATCTATCCAGGCCCACAAAATACCGCAGAGATAGTATGTACAAATTTTACTTAATTTACTCTTTTTTCATGCTACTAAATACATTGAGGTCTCCAAAAAGAAGTTCAGCTCTCTTCTCATCCACAATCTCCACGTTTTTTGTAGGCAGATATAAGAAATTGTCCCTGAAAAACATCTCACTTTTGATTGTATTTAACTCATTATTAGTAGTGAAATGTAGAAGGGAACGTACCCTCCAAACCAGGAGAACTGAATTACAGAGTCGTTTTTGCTGCCAGCCACTTCGGTGAGAGGAAGAACATCCGTTATTTCCAGATATCTGCAAATAAAGCCAAATATGGGAAATCAATGCTCATCTGAACTCATACACAGCAGCACTATACTTGTTCTTTCGCACACCCCAAAACGTCAGATATCCAACTCTGACGTAATCGTTGCTCTCATTCATGGCAATCACTCCAATCAACCGATTCAAATACCTAAAATAGGGATGCACAATGAGGAAGTGGTGACTTTGCTGAAGGTTCTCAAGCAAGCAGACTAACAAAAGCAGTCGAGATTTCGTTGTTCGCCTATGCAGATGCAACCGCGCGAGCGTTATAGAATAAACTCACACTAACTACTGCCTCGTCTAAGTGTTCTTTCATAAAGTACCTTCCTCAACCTTCCATTATTATTCCGTCTTTGAACCTTTCCTTTAGACTACTTTTTGCGATTTAGTGTGGTCGAACAAGAATCCACAAACTACAATACATACGGAAATATTCTGAGAAATTTGTGATCCTACATGCTATAACGCAAAACTAAAACAACCAATTCGGGTGGCGTAAATTCTTTCAAAATGAACGCGCGCGGGTGCAGTGGCAGAAGCGAACGGCAAAACCACTCGAGTGTATATGGTAACATTTT